CAACGGGTCACACAAACATCCAACGGGCCACACAAACACGCGGTCGCTATGCGGGGGGGGGGAGGGGTTCTGGAAGGGGGTCCCGTCTGTGGTGGGGGAGGGTGGCCCCGGGTCAAAATGCTGCCCTTCATGGGGTCCAAACGGGTCCCGGGGGGCCGCTAGCGAGATCCCCTGGGAGGTCCCGCCTTCAGGGTCGGCGGCACAGGCCGTAAGGCCTTCATAATACATTGACAAGCCCAAGTTCTTCAGTCATAACGTAAATGTCTGGGACCTTCCTGGTCTCAGAACATATTGTGGTCTCGCAAGGCTGTCCTGTAGCTGTCTTGGAGCGTCCTGGGCCATCCCAGAGCCTGGAATTCTCTTGAGGCGGGAAGATCTCCCCAGACCCTCTGGAAGGGTTCGTGGACCCACCAATTGGGCTGCGTGGGGGAGGGAGTCTGGGAGAAAGGTGCTGCCCCTGATCCCTAGGACCCGGACGCCAGTGATACCACATGTTTGAATACGACCGCTGCGCTGTGTGCCTAAAGCAAAAGTCGAGCAGCAGCAGCAGCATCAGCAGCAGGAGTGGGACGAAGGAGGGGGGAGGAGGGGGAGGAGGAGCAGGGCAGCAGCAGATGCAACATCAGCATGAGGGGGATGATGAGGAAGAGGTAACAGGAGAGCAGCAGGAGCAGGAGGAACAACGGGAACATGAGCAGGAGGAGTGGATGAGGAGAAGGATGGGACTGCCGAAGGGGCGCCTTCGCCGACCGAGTGAGGCTCTGGAGACGCGCGAGAGCTTCAACAGACGCCCCCGAAATACCTGCAGAGGCCTCCAATCAGTAGGTCACATGTCGTGATTCTCTCTCTCTCTCTCTCTTTCCCTTGCTCCTCCCGCTCCTCCTCTTGCTGCTCCTCTCTACTCGACCAGCGAAGCCCAACAAATATCGCATCATAACCGATCATACCAGCTCAAATCGCACCTGATCTGGCCAAACCCAAATGGAAACTCCTCCTGCTTCTGCCGGACGCAAATGCGATGCAGACGGATACCTGCAAAAGATGTATGAATGAAAGTGGCCGATGCTTGCAACCGTGATGACCCCGTACACGTCGGCCGGACAAGTTAGGTTCAAACATGATCTAGAGAGGCGGACCAAGTAGATTGGGCTTTGACCCTCCCGGATATAAAAAGACAGCGAAAGCATATGGATTCTTGGAGCAGGAAGGCGCTAGAAGGAGATTGGGATCTTGGAATCCCAAAAAGTACCTACTTTCAACGGCCGGCGGGGTCGACGCAGTCCCCATCGGAAGGTGAAACTCGGCCGCGCGCCCAGGGGGAAGGCAGAGAGAGGGGGCGGCCTCCCCAGAAGGCCGGAAGGCCTCCCGCCTTCCTGCGGAGCCCGCGGAGCCCCCTGCGAAGCCGCAGGCATGCTCCCCGGAAGGCCGGGGAGCTCCTGCGAAGCCGCGCCCCGGCGCCTTCTGAGAAGCCTCGCCCCCTCTCGCTTCCCCCCTCGGCGAGCCGCCGACTCAGGGTCGACGCAGTCCCCACCACAGATCTCAGAGCGCGTTGCTCACGATTCGCGATGACGCCCGTGACCGAGGACGCCCCCCCTCCCCATGGTAGCGTTACGCTTCGCGCCGGCGCCGTCTGAGGTGGCTCGGACGAACCAACTCCCAGAAGGCGCCGGCGCGAGTTGTCACATTACCGGTCACTTCTCCACCCCTCCCGCCGCGAGAGGGGGAAAGTTACCACGGCGAGGGACCCAACCATACACATTTGTAGGTGCCGTTGTTGTGAATATCGTCTTCGGCGCCGTGCGAACCCTGGCATTCGGTTCGGCCCTTAGCTGGAGCTCCCTATGGGGCCACGAAACCTGTGGAGGGTGTGCCGACGTGAGGCGCCGACGCCATGCGAACCCTGGCCTCTGGGCCTTAGTTGGAGTTTCCCATGGGGCCATTAAACGAGCGACGGGTGTGCCGAAATGGAGCACCGACGCCATGCGAACCCTGGCATTCGGGCCTTCGCTGAAGCTCCCTATAGGGCCACGAAGCGTGCGACGGGTGTGCCGACATGAAGCACCGACGCAATGCGAATCCTGGCATCTGGGCCTTAGCTGGAGCTCTTCAGTGGGCCACGAAACGTGTGAGGATTGTGCCGACATGAAAATACAAGCGCGTTCCACTACTAGCAAAGTAACAACTCGCACATGGCCAGGATCCGCCGCGGGGGATGCACGATCCATTACGTCGAGGCAAGCACGTGCTTTTCGGACGCATACGCATAGGCACTTTGCGAGTAGTGGAACGCGCTCGGTGAAGGAAATGGTGACGCCACGCGAAACCTGACATTCGGGCTTTAGCCGGAGCTCCCTATGGGACCACGACCTGCTCAATGACAGATGTGGCTGGCTCCTATGCGACAGCAGCATTTTTCATCAGACATATGGCAGCCGCCACAGCGAGAACGACATGTTCGATGAAGGATGTCGCTGGCGCCGAGGCAACAACAGCACTTTAATTTAGACACGTGGACTGCGCCAAGGCGAGTCCGACATGCTGACATTATCAATGAAGGATGTCGCTGGCGCCGAGGCAACAGCTACATTTTCAATCAGACATGTGGCCTGCGCCAAGGCAAGAACGACATGCTGAATCAAGGATGTCGCCGGCGCCAAGCCAACAAAAACATTTTCAATCAGACATGTGGCCTGCGCCAAGGCGAGAACGACATGCTCAATGAAGGATTGCTTTTGACGGATTTTGAGGTTCTCGCCTGCTCGGTTTGCCGACCGTCCAAGACGGCCCAAGAGTCCTCCAATATAGCTCTAAGACAGACCAAGAGGGCCCCAAGATGGCCACA